TCTCTGAAATATTATGTTGGAGCATTCAGAAATATAGATTGCATTTCTCAGTCTGTGAAGTTCAATTCCTTACATTCAGCTTGTTAATCTATCCCCTTTGTGCCTTCTGGATCAATGAATCGAAATGTTCTTGTGAGGCCTGCGGACTTATGAGGATACGTCTAATTTAATGAGCCCAATAATTCTATTACCCGACAAAATACCCCACGTTATTCCTTTGATAGATACAGAGTTCTTACTGTGCTGTATGTTCAATTATAGATGCATTGTTTTCTTTTCCAATTCACCATTTTCTGAACACGACAGCATATTGGCGAGCACCAATTTCTCAAAGTGAAAGGATTTAGGTAATCCAATTGTATATTTGTATACACATAATATTTGCTATATTTTTATTCCACCTACTGATTGTTTGTGCTGTTCAGATAACCTAGTTTTTGGGACATTGTTCCATTATTTCTCTGCCCTTATTAGAATTGGAAACCTTGATCTATCAGTCCATAAATTGATGAAAAATTTGTGACAAATTGTCGAACCTGACAAATAGATGTTCCATTATCAAATTTGAAACGGAGAATTAAGACCATCCAATATACGGGGTGATTAATTAACAATTGAACAAAACTTCGGGATCATATTTTTTGGCTAGAAAAAACGTTCATATAGACAAATGTCCAGGTGAAAATCGTGTCGGAGATACAGAATATTTGAGTTTCCTGAAAAATAGATCATTTCATTGAATTTCAAAAACTGCTCAACCTCAACCTATAGTTGTTGCAATGAGGACTTTTTTGGACCTATAACTGTTGGAAGAGGGGTGTGCAAAACTGGGAAAATCCGCCTCTTGTGGGTCCCAGGAAGCTTCGTGGGTATCCCGGGGAACTAGGAGGCAGGCAGACTAGCTGAGATCGATCCGATTCGATTCGAGCAATACTGGGAATACCCAATAGCATGACTATGTTCTTCATGAAGGAAATGCTACAAAGACTATTCAAGCTCCATATGAAGAAACCTTCAAAAAAACCCACGAGAGAGGTCCTGTCACTCGACAGAAGAGATCTCAAGATAGTAGTTGGGCTATACTAACTGGATACAACCACCTCAGCAGGCATCTGGAGCTCATAGGGATCAAAGAAGATTCCATCTGCAGATGGTGCTTGGAGTATGGTGAAACATCATCGCACATACTCACTGATTGCTTCGCGCTGATCCATCAGAGAGAAGCTGCCTTTGGCAGCATTTCATTGCACTCAAAGGATGTGAAAGTGATTCAGCTGAGGAAGCTGCTGAATTCCGTTGAAGGAATTGGCATGCCCAGCTGATAGTTGATAGTTGATAGTTTTGCCCCTGGTAATACTTCATTAGCTGCGATAGGTACAAAATACACTCAATTGAAAGGTCAACAAAAACCATGAATTTGTTCAGAATCGCTTTGGCGCCATTTTCCGAAAACATTATAAAATCTTCTCAATTTTTTCATGAAATTTGAACACTTTGTATCTCGGAAACGAATCGACTTCGGACATAATTATGTTTATGTGATTTCAATTTCATTTTGACCCCAAAAATCTGCGACATCAAGGTTTCGTAAATATTGAAACACCATGTGTTACTAAACTGGTTAGAGTAAACATTTGAACAACTCACCTAGAGAGAAATAGAATATTGATAGAGTTCGTGCTCCATAGAATTTGTCTTCCATCATGAAAATTTAATAGGTTCCTACTTCCGTATTGAATTAGACTTGACCTAATTAAAATTCAGCAAAGGGAAATTGCGATTTTTCTTCCTGATAAAGAATGGGTATGAAGTAACTCTCAATGTTCGTTATGAGGTATTGTTTGCATAAGTTATGATAATGAAGCAACCCCATATACTCAAGGTTTCTTCATACATAACGCAACATTTATATGGAAAATGCGTGACGTGACGTCAGTTGGTCAGTTATACGCTGATATAATTTATTGATTAATTGTTCATGAACACTTATCTCACGCGATTATTGAATTGCATGAAACTCCATAAGGCTAACTTTTAATGAACGAATCTTAATATCAGCACCAAGTCAAATCCGTCTGGGGTGATGCAACACTCACAAATTCCTCGACATCATTGGAACAGGAAAGTTGGCAACTTTTCACTATTCTACAGATAGGTACTCTCAAGGAAATTGATCTTTCCAGGATATACAACACCACTCAGACAATCTCAAGAATTTCAATCACCGTTTCATTTTGTCTTCATCCTCGGGAAGTGTTGATCTTTGTATCAAATCTATTTTTCTTTTGTAGAGCGGCAAAGTTCTGGGATTCTTTGCCTAGGAAAGTATTGCCACAAAATTATTGCCTCTTGAAATTTGAAGAAAAAATTCAGTAACAACTTTTTTTACTATCCTTTCTGAGAAAACACCATGGAAAATAATGAGGAATTACTTTCGTGCGCTCCTGAGGATGAAAAAACTCAATTAGGATTTGAGAAATCGCGATTAAATACTCTTCGGCATCATTGTGAACATACGGGAATTCTATATTTTGTGTGTTGACATAGACAAAATATAATCTGTCATTATCTGACCAAGGTGAAAAATAGTTATTTATACAAGGAAAAAAGTGTGGATTTTAGCTCCAGGTTGTCTTGTATCTCGACGCGTAGCGCAGGGAGACTCAAAACCGTGAGCGTAAATATCTGTCAGTCTAATTCTGTGATTTGATTTTCAAAAATTGCGAATTTAGTGGTTCTTTAGTAATTTACGAATTGTTTTCACCACGAGCGACCTTGAAAAGGAGTAAATAATGCTAAAGCTAGTGGTGATAAAAGAATATTATTATTACCCAGGAATTTTCAAGGAATATATCTCATTTTTCCACCACAAGCAATATATTTTTCAATTATTATAGTTTGGCACAACTGAAGAAAACATTTGTACGATATAATGGTATATCCTCATGAATATCTAGTAATTTTGGAAATAATGATTGAAGAACAATTCATAAATTTCATTTAGTTTTTAGTTTTCAATCGCACCAAAAAGTGTGTCTGAATGTGTATATCCAATATATTCTTTGCAAACTGAGGAATAATCTGAATCTAGATAAATTATTCATAGGTTAAACGAGTCTCATATTATCTCCAGCTCTTCTGATCGATTAGAAATGTTTGAAATGTGTGTTCGGAACGAATTTCAGTATAGCCAGCTTTGGCAACCCACTTTAGTCTGAATACGCTGTTCGAAATTAGGTTAAAATCTATTTGGTTCAAGTTCAGATATTTATGATATGGTTAGAAAACACGAAATCATGTCCACAACGTGAGATATCCATAATATTTGGCATGACATTCATTGCGGCAACTGATTCATGATGAGTATCCTCAAACAGTTATCAGTAGATGAGATATGAGGGTTCTGGGTCAAAATCCCATGACTTTTCACATAAAGGTCAGAATAAAACCATTTTGTTGGCTGAGGAACCGAATCGGCATAGGTATAAGTGTAGTAGAAGGCGTGCCAAAGTTGAGCAATATGTGATGAATCTAAGAGGACGAGTATCACATACATTGAGCATTGGACATAAGATCATAAAACTAGAAATCAGCTTCATTTAATGAATAATCTGTCTACCAGCTACTGGCTTCAACCTGAAGGAAACCTATATCTGCTCCTCCTCGACCTCAGGTTGAATACCTTCTCAATGTTTATGACATGAAATATTTCAACAATCATCATCGAAGCATAGAACCAGGTGATCCTGCTCCTTTGTGGCCCCGGCCAAAGTTCACCTTGCTACACATAGTCACGCTTTCTGCAACACATACAGAGTAGGGTGAGGTAAATGAGTCTCGTAACTTCAACCAATAATTCATTGCCTGTGACCAGTAAAAAAAGCTCATCACAACATAAATGACAATAAATAAAAACTCAACTTGCCCTATACTTTGTCCCGAACTCTGACGGTTCGGGCACAGTGGTTCGGATCGAATCAATGAATGATCTATGAATAATCGAATCAAATGATTGAATGGTTCAGTCAAATGATCTAATGATGATAAGAATTGCGGTCTTTCAAATACTCATCATAGTCAATTGCAAAAATTGTACATTTGATAGATGTTTCATGAGCTGGTGTATTTCCAGGAAATGTGCATTAATCTAGCATATATTTTGAGTTAGACAATTAGATCAGATAGAGCCTTCATGAGAAGATACATGCTATTATGGTTCAGAATCCCACTAGCTTATCTACTGATTTTGTATTTTATTTCTTTCCGCTCATATTTATCTTGACCAAGGGCCTGCAAGAGAGCTACACCAGGAGGTCAAGTGTCATTGTCGTCAGTGTCAGAGCAAAACTTGTTCGCCGAAAATCTATTTACAGGGTGTTTTCGGAATCAAGGCAATTGATAAAATGGGCTGTTTTATGAGACATAATGGCACAATGAATCACAAAAATGAAATTGAACAGATATGCTATCGTATTATGTCACGTCTCTCGACTATCATTGAACGTCCGGCAACATTGCAGAAATCATCATTACTTCTCTGGGACTCTGCTTCAAAGGTGAATCGTGGAAATTGTTGTTATGTTCTGTCTGGGTCCTCTCATACAGAGGTCCAGCTCTCTACTAGTGAAAATTCCATTCCACCTTATCTTTCATCTCTCATTTCCCAATTACCTTCATATGATTTATTAAGAGCAATCTTGTTCAGTGTCCCTTTTGTGGGGAGATTAATTAAACATATTTACCTCAGAGGCTCTGGGGCAATCTCAATAATTCTCCTGACGTTTCTACCAGCCTGACGAAAAATTAGAAAATTCTAATGAACCACGTGGAATAATAATTAACAAAGTTGGTATCTAATCAAACAATTCATTGAAACTAGGTTGCAGTTGAGTTGTGTGTGTTATAACATTAAATTTCCCTTGTGGTTCGAAACTTATGCCAGTCTACTGATGTGTAGTTTAAAACAATAACTTACTTACCCACGTGACTTGTTGTTTCAGGTGTTTCTCATTCGACTAAAATTCTGGAGGATAACGGAACTGAACTCAATGTGGTGGATCAAGTAAGTAACAAGAAAGTTGTTGAATCAATAATGATGGATGCTTGGTTGAAATCGATGTAATTCTTCCCACTGTTCAGGGAATGGCATTATTATCACACTCTCGCATAGGCAGCATAGGTGTGGGATCTTTGTGATTTCAACACTCAACAAAAAATACTGAAATGGCTCATGAAAACACACCGATTGTGAAGATTGAAAAGCTTGTAAGAAAGTTCGAGAGTACTTTTTGTGATTATGTTTCACGAGTAGAGAATCGCCATTAAAATGATTTCAGTCAAAATAGAGAAAAGGTCTGAATATCAACCAATTACAAGAAAGTTTGAAAGTTCAAAAATTGACAGACTGGATCTGTTATCTTCAACTATGCCAGCATGACACCATAACTACAATTTTGCCATATTTCCGTGACCTTGATTTTTATAACATGTATTTTCATTCGCATAATATATCAATAACCTTGTAGATTGAGCTGCACTCTGAACGAATGATATTTATCTTCCATGGGAATAATGGTGCCCACCAGAGCTTATTCAATTACTCAAGCGTTGGCAAAAATACATTTTCCCGAGATTTCCCAAATTTGCATTCGTATCAACGTTGTGGAGTGTACAAAGAAGAATGAGAGAGGAAAATGAGAATTATGTGTGGTTGGACGGTGTTTAATGAACAAACAAATGAAAATTGGGAACAGTTGATTTCAGTAAAAACACATTTTAATGGTAATTCATATATAGGCTAATAAAATTAAATCGAAAAAAACCGTTTTGAGGAATTAATTTCCAGCAAGCTGGAAATCGTTTCAATACCTCTATTTGGTCCTAAATGCGTGTAATCTGAGTTTGCACCATGTCAGGTGGTGAGCTTAACTTTTGATAGCCAAAAAACCGCCACATTTTTGCATTTTTTTTTAATTTTTTTGCTTATAGCTGCAAAACGGTGCGTCGGACGGAAAATGTTATTCCATTCAATAATACAGAGGACAAAATTCTGCGTCGAATGACATCTGAAAACATCAAATTCCGTTCAGAGGTATAGCCGAAATCGAATGTTAAAAAAAAGAAAATTTCGTAGTTCGGTGCAACTCGTGCGCGAAATACTTTGGTGATTTCGACTATTTTTTAACTTGGCTGCGCCTCGTTGAAAAAATCAGCTCTCGATCACCAAAGTAGCATTTCGCGCACTAGATGAAAAATAATTATAAATTGATGCAAAATTTGGGACCGAAGCTGAACCGGGCATTCAGATATCCGGATAATTGGACAAATCAAGAAAACTTAAACATTTGGAAATCTATCTATATAACGTAAAATTTTTTTCTCTACAACTTTTATTTTATGGTTTTTTTCAATAGGAGTATCAGTTTTCACGATATGTCGTCTTGGAAAGCCGCAAAATGTAAGCTTGCACCGAACTACGAAATTTTCTTCCTTTTTAACATTCGATTTCGGCTATACTACTAAACGGAATTTGATGTTTTCAGATGTCATTCGACGCAGAATTTTGCCTCCATATTATTGAATAGAATGACATTTTTCGACCGATGAACCATTTTGCAGCTATAAGCAAAAAAATAAAAAAAGTGCAAAAATTTGGCGGTTTTTTGGCTATCAAAAGTTAAGCTCAACTCCTGGAATGGTGCAAACTTAGATTACACGCATTTGGGACCGAATGGAGGTAATTAAATGATTTCCAGCTTGCTGGAAATTAATTCCTCAAAATATAATTATTTGATTGGCCTAATAGTCCATTGAACTTCTATATAAATGAACTTGATATATTCACCCTTCCATGATCACAAAATCATTTACTCTACAGTCTTGAGTCCTCATATCTATCTATAGTGAATTCTTAGACGGTTAAATACTCCAATGTCAAAATATATTTCCTGTAGGATTTTGCTAAAGACTTCCTGTCGAATTATATTCGATGATTTATCGCTGTAGTCGTAGTCCCTGTAGGATTATTCTGAAGATTGATTTTGTTCCAATGATATCAACTTCAAAGAGGTTATCAAACAACAGTTTCATAATATTCGGACGTCTAACTCGTTTGCCAATACTGATTTAATTGATAAATTTCAAAGAATAATTTGTGAAATTTGTATATCGCTATTTCAAAGTTGGGAACCAACTCCACAGAAGTCGAAACTTGTGTGGGGTTTGGAAGAGCGGGACCTACAGCTTTTAGTGGAATTCGAACCACTTCTAGGGCATCGAAAAATCATCCAGGATGAAGTAGAATGGCAATTCTATGGCTATAGATGGGTCTTTTCATAGATATTCTGGAAAACAAATCATAAGGACACCATGTATTGTGTTGGAAACTGTTCTCGCCATGGAATGACTGTGTCGAATTTGTTTTCATTGACATTTTTCATCAGAAATTGATATTATCGATATGAAAAATCTACTCAAGGATCACTGGAAACTCATCGATTTCCAGATTGAACAACTAGTTCATAATTGGGTGGATAAGATTTGGCGCAAAATGTAGAGATTCTTATCCACAGGGTGTCCCATGAGTCGCTGGCAGATTCAAAAAGAACCCCACGAAGATAACCAAATATGAGAAAAAGTTGCCCACAACACAATATTCAAAACAGCCTTTTTGTTGTTTTTTTTTCAATTGTGTCGCGTTTGTCAGAAAATTTGAATAACTTTTGAACCATCAACAATTTGATTACCATATAAACTGGGCGTCAATTGAAACGTTAATAGTGATATTTGGCATCAAGTTTGACTTCTCGTAATTTCTAAAATATTGAACGAATTTTGAATTGCCGCCCAGATTCTGAATGCCTTTTTCATCGTCTTTCGAACCGTTCCTTACAGCTTCTTCTGAATTGATCAGGACCCGTGATACAGGGTGAAACAAAGTTTCGTGCATTTTGAAAAAAATTTCTCCGCCCCCCCATTTTGTCAGAAGACCACAATGCTTATATTTTATTTGGGCATTTCATAAATAGCAACCATACCTCGGGACGTTTTCGAGTTCCTGCCAAAAACTACTGTGGTTTCCGAAAAAAAATTTTTTTTTGCATTTTTTTAAATGGACTAATTTTAGAGAAGTTCCAGAAATGGATGCTTTTATGCATTTCAGGAAATCGTTGGGGCAGATAAGTATACCAGGTTACTCAAAAACAATCAATAATTTATTACTTCGCAGTCTATGATGAAAGTTTTCTACCTTAGTGAGCAGTAAATCAACACATCTCATCAACAAATACAAACAAGGATACCTTGTTTTTATAACAGCGTATTGTTGAAACAATGTAGGTATGCATAGAGGTTATATCAATTGCCGATTTTCATGAAAACGTCAGTGTAATTCGGGTCCTAAATAATTTAAAGATGCCTCGTTCAGATCGGGTAGAAATGGAAAATATCATTAGGTAAGATCACTATATTCAGTACAGATAATTATTATTTCAGGTTACGACGATTAGGATATACCCAAACTCATTCAAGTACCATTTTCAATAAGTCAGTCATGACAATAAAGAGACTGATTCATCGTTTTGGTGATACAGGTAATTAGTCCATTAAAAAAAAATGCTAAAAAATTTTTTTTTTTCGGAAACCACAGTAGTTTTTGGCAAGAACTCGAAAACGTCCCGAGGTATGGTTGCTATTTATGAAATGCCTGAATAAAATATGAGCATCGTGGTCTTCCGACAAAATGGGTGAACGGAGAATTTTTTTTCAAAATGCACGTAACTTTGTATCACCCTGTATCATGGATCCTGATCAATTTAGAAGAAGCTGTAAGGAACGGTTCGAAAGACGATGAAAAAGGCATTCAGAATCTGGGCGGCAATTCAAAATTCGTTCAATATTTTAGAAATTACAAGAAGTCAAACTTGATGCCAAATTTCACTATTAACGTTTCAATTGACGCCCAGTTTATATACCGTTAGTTTGATTGCCAATAACCCCTCCTAACCACCCCACTTCTTTTGATCCATAGCTTATGGGACACCCTGTATACTGAAGCTGTTTCATAAATCGAAGTAGACTCGGATATTTGGTTCAATCTCTTGAACTTTCTCAAATAGAATGTTCCTCCATTATCATATCAACTCAAATAACAGTATGCTAATTTCAGTATTCGTCATTTGTGGGCATTATTAAATCATCAAACTAGCAATTCAGCAGCAAATTATTTAATTATGAATCGAAACTCCACTAATGGTGTATAACTCGTAGCTTAATATGGGTCATTATGGTTCACAATAATTGCTATTCAGCAATTGAAACACGTAAATGAAAAATATGTTTCAGTATAATGTTGTCGTTTCTGATGTTATGATAGAACTTCAGAACGTAATTATTTAGCAGCAAGTACTCAACTTGTTTCATGAGAAATAAGTTCAGTAATATTTTATCTCGCAATCAGATATTAAAATACATGAGGATGAAATTAGTGGCACGAGCATTATTATTAGTCCATTTTTGATACACTACATAGCTACTAAAGCTGTTTTTAAAAACGAAATTGACATGAATGTTTGGTTCAATCATCTCAAAGTTAATTTCGAAGATCGACGAGATATAGAACTGCTGAACTTTCTGAAATTGAATGTTCCTTCATTATCAAATCGATTTAGATAATATCAGTATGCAATTCTCATTATTCATCATTTGACGTCATTATCAAATCAGCAAATTATTAATTGCAAATGCCCCTCCCCCTCCACCTCATTTCTTTTGATCAATGACATATGGGCCACCTTGTATAGTAGGTTTAGTTATAAGTTGGTCAACTTCTTAGTGCACTAATGTAATTAAAATGAATCGAAATGAGATAATGTATTGCATGAACATATTCTATGAAATATGAGTTTTCAACATCCTTAATTCATACTGAAATGAAAATGCAATTATAAAATTATAATTAACATTGCCTGAATAGACCTTAAATTCATCCTCATGTATTTTTATCATAATTATATGCTTTGATTGCGAGAGATATTCATCATTGGACTAATTCCTCATGAGATA